CTTAAGAGTATCTAACAGTAATCAAAGCACTCGGTCCAAATGGGTTTGTTACTTTGAAGCCACCATTCTCTCCACAGGACCAGAAGACTGAAAAAGTCATCATTTCCAAAAACTCATCCATGCCACCTTTTAAACAATAGATGTTAGCATCGCTTAGCTAGTCAGCCACCTACTTGCCTGGGTGGGGAGTGTCTGGCCCACCCGGGAACCACGCCCTTCCCTCTTGCTGGAAACTGGTCTATCTGCACAGGCAAAGGAGGACTCCCAGAAAGCTGCACTCTTAGGTTGGGAGACATCCTTTAAGCAAAGCCAAGAGAAGACAGTACTGAAAAAAGAGCAGGGAATGAATAATTAAAGGTTATTAAGAAAATTATGGCTACTTTACATTTTCACTTTAGTTTTGAGATTCAAACCATACAAGCTGTGCTACAGACAGAGCACCCTTCCTAAAATGGATCTACCTTGGCAGTTGCTGTGGCAACATAGAACACCTTAACCCCCGATAATGATGACATTTCTTAGAAGGCAGTGCATTTTCTCGGCTGCACTGAAGACTTTTTTTTTTTTTTTTTTTTTTTTTTTTTTTTTGCATCATCTGTTACCACTGTTCCTTTCATTTTTATTCTTCAAACCAAAAAGTCAGGCATGTAAGTTCTAAATTCACTCCTCTAAAGTGCCAATGCAGAAACTTTTTTGCTATACAAAGGCAAAATCCCTCTGCATTTCTGTTTCTATTATCCCCAATAGCAGCCAGCTAACCTCCCTTCCTGCATGCTGCTCCTGCCTGTGTCCCCTAACCTGCCCTTCCAGGCGCTTGAGAAGCCCACCCACCACTGTGCTCATCCATGCCCCGCTCTTTAAAAGGACAGTGTGTACCATGAACCCAGCTCTCCTCCTCTCCTCCTCTGTTCCTTCTACTCACTATGATCCACACACCAGTCACATTCCATTTGCTTCCCGTGCTTCCGATAAGCCATGTGTTAGGAGGACACATTCTGGGTAAATCGGCCCACAGGGAACAGAAGCATCAGTTCATCCTCCCTTTACCTCCCCTGTGTCTCTAGTTGGTAGAAACCTAGAGATCGAGTGTCAAGCTGACAACCTTCCCTTAAATTCAGTCACTACACACAGAATAATGGTTTCCCACTTTTAGACCCAAGTTGTAGGCAGAGACCAGAGAGAGCTTGTCCACATGGACTGAATGCCTGCTTACACACACACCCCAGCTGGTGTGGTAAGCCCTTAGGCTCCAGTGAATTTGTAGATGGGGCCTTCGGGAGCTAATTAAATCAGGGTGAAGACCTATGTTATAAAAAGAGGAAGAGACCAGAATTCACTGTCTGTGTACACACAGCAAGGAAAGACATTTAGGGATATCAGCAGGGGTACCCTCACCAGGCACTGGGCCATGCAGCCCCTCACCTTGGATTTGCAGCCCCCATGACAAGCTTCCCTGTAATTAGCCTAGAACAGGAACCTTCAGGGTCTAGAGGTATAAATGGATGCAGTGGCAAAATCTCACCAAATAAAAAAGAATCTAGAGCTGCAGGCATGGCTCAGTGGGTAAAAGTAATGGAGTGACTAGGGTTGGGGATTTCGCCCAATGGTAGAGCGCTCGCCTAGCAAGCACAAGGCTCTGGGTTCAGTCTTCAGCTCTGGGCGAGGAAAAAAGTACTAGTGACACAAGCCTGATGACCAGAGTTCAATCCCCAGTACTCATGTCTAAAAAAGGGGAAAGGAGCCCATCTTACTCGCTACTCTCCTACTTGAGATGGGAGACACAGACAGGCTCACAGATCAGCTAACCTGGGCTACACACACAGCACAGCAGCAAAAGCAACACTATAGACTGCCTCAACAACGGTGGAAAGAAAGAACTCCTGAGTGGTCCTCCGAACTCCACGTGTGTGCCGTGGCACCTGTGGGCAAGTGGATGCTTACACTAGCTAATTTAATTAAAAATGTAAACATCGAAGATAGAAAGTAAAGGGAAAGAAGGAGGGAAGAAGAATCATTAGGGCCCTGTGCTGTGGGGAGCACAGGGCCGCACAAACTGGAAGAATATAAGTGGGACAGGTGCTCAGAAGCAAGGCTTGGGTACCTGGGGGAGGTGGATGGGCCGCAGGCACAAAGCCTTCTTGATAACAAAGAGGATCTCAGTTTTGACTCTATTTGAAAAACAAACCCAAATACTGCAGTGATAGATGAATCTGTTCCAGACTAAGATGGTACCAGTGGTGACAGACATTAAAAGATGCTGTCAAGGGAATTCCTGTCTCCCCCTCTTCCTCCTAGCTGAGCTTCAGTGTAACAGTAAACTCTAGTCCCTGTCTTCACAGTCCTTTATAAAAACAAATGCTTGCTGGAACAGTACCTTTGCGGGAAGACCAGGCTGGTGCCGTGGGATCGGGTGTTAACCATGTTATGTACACCCCACTTCTACTCAGCTTCCAAGAGAGCATCCTTCCTAACAAAATGCCATTGCTATGGTGCTCTGGGTTCCTGAATGGGACTTTGATAGAGGGACTCAGATGAAGGAAAGTGGAAAGATGAACAATCCCAGTGAACCAAGAGAAGCTAGACTCTTACTAGATGAGCTGTGGTTGACGACTTATGGAAGTACAGATAATTTTATAGCTGGTGCTCTTTGAAACCAGTGGGCATGGAGGCTAAGAAGGGAATGAGCTTGACAGCCCTGGAAAGTCCATTCTGGAGTTCTTAAGCCAGAACAGCCTTTAAATGCTCTGGTGTTTAGAAAATTTTCTCATTGGCAAAATAGGATACTATATTCTAATGATTTTAATCATTGTTAAATTTTTATGTATGGGGGCAGGGCAGGGCACACTACAGCACCCATGTGGATATTGGAGGACATTTTGACAGAAGTCTGTTCTCTCTGCCATATGAGGTCTTAGGGATTGACTCAGGTCATCAGACTTGTGGCAAACACCTTTACCCTTTACACACTGAGCCATTCCACTAACCTACACTATATAATTAAATACTAGCATTTTATAGTAACATTACATGTGCCGGTTTGGCTCTTTAATCAAAGAAGTGTATGTCCACCAAGTCCTTTGATGAGATCATTTCTACCTTGTCTTACTCCTTGATCTGTTGTAAGGCTGGTTTATCCCACAACCAACCCTGAAAGAATGTCAGGAGGCAAAAGGAAGAGCAGAGTGGTATCACAGTAGTTAATGTCTCAGTCCGGCTTATAGGTGGAGGTTATCTCTCCTCCTCATTTCACATCAAATATATGATGGTGTTTAGCTTTACTTCTAAACTTGACACAACTTACAATCCCCTGAGAACAGACTCTGGGTGAAGGATTGCTGAGCTCAGTTTCCCTGTGGGGGACTGTCTGTCATAAGATAACTGATTGGAAAGAAGCAGCCCACTGTGGGTGGCACCATTCCCTAAGCATGGGTTCTTGAACAGCCAAGAAAGTGATCTGAGCACAAGCAAGCAAGAGGACATGCATGGATTCCTTTCTGCCTGCACTTGACTATGGATGTGCTGTAATTAGCTATTTGTTTTTTAGTCCCTGCCACCTTCGCTTCCCTCAGTGGACTAGATGCTGGAATTGTGAGCTAAGATAAACCGTTTCTACCCTAAGTTGTTGGTGGGTGTGTGTATGTGTGTGTGTGTGTGTGTATACATATAGATGTATATGTTTGGTTTTAGTTTGTTGTTTGTTTGTGAATTTGGACATGTTGTCACAGCAACAGAAATGAAACTAGAGCACACCTACACCTCCTGGGTCAGAGGTAGAGGTGTATCTCCATACAGCTTAACTGTTCCTGACAAGGGACAGGTTGCAGACAACTACAAGAAGACACTGAACGTCTGGAAGGGCAGCGTGCAAGATAGGAAGCTGTATGAAAGCTTAGTGGAAAGGCCACTACACTGCCAGGGGACAGGATACAGGAGGCACTGCCTATCTGCACTCTCTGGCAAGTCCAGTAACAATAAGTCAGACAAGTAGCAGCTTCTCCCAGATAGTGACCAGCCAATAGTGCTTACTCTTTCAAGGGCATCATTGTGTGGTCCTGTGGTGGCTGGACCAGGAGCACCTCTCCAGGGTGAACCTTTGCTCTACCCAATTATCAGAGAGCAGCTTCCAAAGATTAGACTACATAATGGTGGCATTACAAGAAACATAGCTGTAGAGCGCCACTGCTATTTGTACAAGCACATTCATGTGACATCCATGCAAATTTTCCAAACATTTCACTTTCACTGCCTCCCGTTAGGTCTTAGAGATAGATACAGCCACCAAAGTGCCGAGTGATAGCACACACCCATGTTGGAGGCTTGGGGACACAGCTGTGCAGATCCCCCAGCGTTGCTGTCCTCATCATCATATGAATCCTACCAAGCACTCCAGTAATCTGCAAAAGTGCCAGTCAAACCAAAGGCATGCTATGAGCTGTGCCCAACCGTAGTCTGTCCCTGTCATAATCTTCATCCTGGTGCAGAAAGGCCTGGTGGTTGGCACAGTGGCCTACCCTGTAAGTGGGAGAAAGGAATGGTATTTACTTACTAAGATACTGAAAGTTGTGTCAGCAGATTATCTGTGTTTAAGATGTATTTACTTATTTTTGATGTGTGAGTATTTTGCCTCCATGATATATACATGTACCATATGTGTGCCTATATCTGTGGAGGCCAGAAGAGGACATTAGACCCACTGTAACTGGAGCTATAGGCAGTTGTGAGTTGTCACATCAGTGCTAAGAACTGAATTCGGGTCCAACGCAAGAGCAGCAAGCTGAGTCATCTCTCTCCATCTCCAGTGAACACGGGGTTGAAAAGAGAGTGTTCCAGGGACCACCTTTGCCAGAATCATGTGCTCAGGCTGAGTAACTTATCAGTGTATGTAATTCTTCACATTTGTGTCATTTATTATATGCTTTCTGATAATAAATATAGAAAACTGAGGGTGAATAGATATTTTTCTAAACAGATATATATATATAAGTTTTTTTTCATTTTAGATAATGTACATACGACAAGAATATGAAACAAAATTCAAAGGGTTAATGCCAGCATCTCTACGACAAGAACTTGAGGACACCATTTCCTCCCTAAAGTCCCAGGTAACTCCTAGAGCTGAGGATGCTCTGAGATGTTGGTGCTCTGAGACTGTGACATCTGCTTGGGTCAGACTAGCCTAGAACTTGCTAGGAAATGCAGGATGGCCTCCAACTCCTGACAGTCCCGCCTCAGACACCCCAGGCTTGAGCCATCATGCCAGCCTGAAGCGAATTGTAGCTGATTCTTTTCTATTTCCCTCAGTAAAAAGGCAGGAGTGAAGGGTCCTTCCCACCAGTCCACTTCGCACTGTCCCTGATGCCTTCACAGGCTGCTAATAGGCTCTGCCATGCTTGCCTCTGCCTGCAGAAACAAATGATGGTGGAGAGAGCATAGCATGAAGGACACACAGCTTTTCTTCATGTGAAAAGCACTGAGAGGTGTGGTTTGCCCATCAGCTTCACGGAGGGGTGTCCATGGGGCCAGCTCCAAGGGCCTGGCACCCTCAGAGGGGAGTCTTCATTTGGAGGCACAGGGGGCGGGGTACCCTCCTGCATGGCTTCTGTTATCATTCATATCATTTCACTGTAATAAAAGCCACTTCAACCTCCTGGAACTGGATGCTGACCCAGAGAACGCTCTACCAGCTGCATGAGGGCCTGGGAGGTGGCAGCTGCGTGGAGGAGGAGTCGCAGCCTTAGAGTGAGCAGATTTAGTTTGGAAGCACAGGTGCCTGTGTTTTTTGAGAGTTGTTGGAATTCCGATCGATTGCAATGCAGGGTGGGGGAGGAAGGTTAAAGCGGTGTGATCCTTGCATCTGTCCGAATTATCAATTGTCCTATGGGTCATTTGAGCAATTGGATAAAATGAAGAGCAGGCACTATTAGCAATAAGCAACCCCGGGGACACTTTGATACACACCCATTTGGGCAGCCTGTGCTTTCTCTCTTTCAAGCACGTTTTTTGGTTCTGCCAGCTGTACTCTTGCATAACTATGCCTTAGAACCAGCCGTTGCCATGGTTTCAGCTCAGACCAAAGAAGCAAGAGTAAACAACTCTGAGCAGATCAAATGCTGCTGACTCTTGATTGTATTAAACCATAGTGTAAGCTGTCGTCCCCAAACCGTTTTTTATGTGGTTGGATGAGGTGTTTTTTAATCGATGTCTGATATATAGGTGTCATTGATCCCATAGACATTTATACTTCAAAGAAGTCAAATGTACTATAAAGATCTCTTTGGAGAAGCCATGCCAGGCAACAGCTTCTCCTAACCTCCAGCCCTCCACTCAGTGATGGTGCCTACCATGAGGTCTATCTGGGCATTTAGTAGGAGGCATATCACACCACACTTAAAACCATGGGCAGCAGCTGTTGTGAACCCCATTTCACAGATGACGCAGCACGAGCTGAGTAACCTTCCCAGCACCTTAGAGGCCAAGCCAGGGATGGAACTCGAGTTGGCCCAACTCCAGGGAAAGCTCCAGCTCTTCCCACTCTAAAGCCCTGTCTCTAACCTCAGGGAAATCCCCAGGATGGATTTGAGGTTTCCAGAAAGCAGTAATTTTCTTCTCACTCACTCATTCGCTCATGAACCAGCAGGGCATACCAGCTACATGCCCAGCCCTGTAAAAGAAACTGGGGACTCAGAGATAGACAGTCACCCCTCTCCAGGAAATCCCTTAGGTTTGGGAACAGACATGCAAACATAACCACAAGGTAGTAGGAGAAGGCACAGAGCACAGGATGCAGAGGAGAGACCACCAGCTTGGGACAGGGCTAGGTGGCTGTGAGCCATTGGGGATCAGCAGGAGGGCTGAAGATTGAGCCACCCACAGAAAAAAATAGGAGACTTTTAATCAAGTAAGAAGTAGCCCTAGCCAAGGGCAGCAGTGAGCAACACAGTGTGAGGTGGTAGTGGTGGGAAGATCATGAGAGAGCTATAAAGATAAATGGCCCCTGGGATGGTTTACAGTTGGTTCTGTGGCCTTTGATGGATTTTTGGTGGAGAGAGGATGTGGCAAGATATAGGAAAATACACTATTGACATTCACTTCCACTCAGTTTTATTCAGGGAATTGTCTGAGTTTAAGTAAAATCTTAACATACTGAGTGTGCAGTGTTGACATATGCACTTACCTTTTCTCACAAAAGATGTCTTTCTAGGTCAACTTTCTACAAAAGAGGGCATCCATCCTTCAAGAAGAGCTGGCCACCTACCAAGGCAGAAGGTATGAGCTGTGAACAAAACACCTTCCCATTAATTTGTACTCTGTACCCCTGGAGTCTTTCAGCTTGACATGCAAGTCTTCACTGAAATGTCTAGACACAAGATAAGTCTTGAAAGTAAGACATTTTTAATGAACAGCTTGTCTTTGAGAAGTCACCCACCTCTTTAATCACAGGGCTAAGATTCATCAGAACAAGATTCGGGAATCTCAGGGTGTGGCAAGTAGGGACCTCACCTGGGCAGTCAGGCAAGGTGTGGTCCTGAAGCCCAGCTGTGGACTGAAGGAGACACCATCTTCCTCTAAGACAGTAGCATGACGCAATTCTTTGTGGTGGCTCACATCTTCAAAGTCCCTTACCCCTGGGGGTTTGGCACTGTTCTCCAGACCAGAATAAGTCAATGGTTTTGTGATGTTAAACATTCACAGAGATGGAGTGTCCTAGCGGGCAGGGCTGTGGGATGCAGGAGACCTTCTTAAAGATTCCCAGTGATATCACCAACCAGGGAGATGTTTACAGATGGTCCAGGTCAGCCAGGCCACTTTACTTTTAAGTGCAGTCACAGGCTGGGCTGTGTACTTGGCATCAAAATAAAAGGAATGAGCTTGTGAATCATTTACTTTTCAAAAGATTCTGTGTGCCTGGTGATGATACAATCAGTTGCTTATAGGCATATGTGATGAAACGTTGATAGCAAATACCCTTTTGAACCTCCAACTCTTTCAGAATTATAACACATTTTACATTTGACAGACCTACTCAGACTAAAACAACCTAACTTGGGGTTTTGATTTGCAGGTAACTGCACAGGAGACTGTGACAGGTGAGCTTGTCTGGGCTGCACTGTGGACTTCTTCCAGCAGGTTTGAAGATTTGGATAATGTGAACTGTGAGATCAGTGGCTTTTTAAATGCTTAAGTGTAATTAAGATCATAAAAACATGCATCATCCATACACTGGGTTGGCTTTATTTGTGTCTGCCTAAGTTATTTTTTTTCCATCTCTTTCTTTCTGACCCCATGTTTGTATTAGAGTATGTGCTGAAGACTGCTTACATTGGGCAGGGATGTAACCACCTATGGTGTGCCTTGGTAATGCATTACAAGGGTCTTGCAAATTGATGCATGATTGAATCACGACTGTAGTGTCATATCAAAATTCTTAACCTTTTAATGCTGTTCCCATGGTCATGTCATATATTAAAATGTCATTTTGTACTATTCTGTTTTCTTTCAACCTTTTATCACACCTCATCTGCTAAGTATGACATATATATATATATATATATATATATATATATATATATGGTATTGTTTCCCCCCAACAAATACTGACTACTTCAGTTTCTGCTTTGGAGGGAAATACCTTATATCATGTCAAAGATCAGCTCATAGTTCCAGCATGAAACTGCTATCCAGAGTCAAAACACTGGGTCATGCTTGTCATGTGGGTCTCCAGTCTGTCCCCTGGGGCTGCAGGGTTACAGGATGGGAAGACTCTGGTTTTCCTGTTGCTTTCTTGACGTCTTCTTTGTGGTGGTTGCTTTGATTGTCTCATTGGCTGGTGATCTTTAAGAAAGCCTAACAGCATTTGACTGTGTTTTGAGGACACGGCCTATTGGCAAGCAATTGCGCCTGTTCATTGGTCATGTCTGCAATGTGTTCACTCTTACAAATGGTATTTAAAGCCTGGATTGCTTTTCCCACACCAGTCCTGTGCTGATTAGTTAGCCTGGTTTGCCAAAGAAATTGAGTTGCAGTTGCAAAGATACTCCGGTTTCATTTGCGTGATCCTGGGGTGAGCCATGGGCCTTTTGAGACACTCTAAAAATGGAGTGGGTAGGAGAGGCAGGGGCTGTAACCATCTGGTTTACTGTAAAAGGACAGGAGAGATAGTTTATTTACACTTATCTAAAATTCTTTTCTCTCTCCCATGCCCAAATTTGCCCATCACTTGCTGTCTGGGGATTAGTTGTTCTTTCTTGTACCTTGTCTGAGCCATGGGAAGATAAGAAAAAACAGATTTTACAGCCATTTCCAAAGCTCAGACAGGTCAGGTTTTGTGATAGCCATCAGTAGGAGGCTGGCATCTCACACAAAGTCAACTCTGTGGAGCCACCACCTTCCTGGTGTCTCTCAGATGTCCTCCTCCTCCAATCCCTCCCTCGGGAGTATAAATTTGTGTCCTGTAAATAATCACACAGGCTTCAAGGATATCCAAAAAAAAAAAAAAAAAAAAAATCATAGCAGCTGCTATTAAAGTATTAAAGCCACCTAGCCAACAAGGACAGTTGACATTCAAGTGGTGACTTAGCACTTGGAACAAAGAGGGCTGTATGGTTATGTTAAGTGCTTCTGCGGGGACCATGAAAAGCAGGTTGAGGTCAGAGGATTTCAAGGTCATTATCGGCTGAAATGAAAATACTTACTGAGTTGCTTTGTTTGCTGAAATTGGACTCCCACTCAGGAATATTTGTTTTCCATGAGTAAATATCAGTAGGTGTTTTGGAAACTTGCCTGCCATTCTTTTCTTTTCCTTATTCCAAGGGTTATGAAATTAGGAACACTGGTGAACCTTTGACATTACCCAGATCCCATTTCCCTTCTGCAGTGCACCCAGCAAGTCTGGGAGTAAATCCAGTAAAACGTTGGGTCAGTTTGATTGGATGTGATAGGAAGGGGGAGCTGACACTTAGGCTTTTGTGAACGATCTCTGATAAAGGAAGAGAAAGGAAAATTGCTTTCCGCATGTTTGAAATTCCTCACTGAGCTGAGCAATGAGTGTATAAGTGGCTACTGGGACAAAACTGTGAGTGTTTAGGAAATAAATTATAAACACTGTGTCTTATTATAAAATCATCTGAGATTGCATCCTTTCTTTTATCTGAAGGATGATCAGTTGTTCATCACAAGTGCCTAATTTAGTTACATCTCCAGGTATCCGTTGGCTACCATGCTCCAGTTTCCACGTGTCCCTTTGCTAGTTCAACATGTAATTGTCAACAAGTGGCAGCTGATAAGCCATTTGGAACACTCAGAGAAGGTGCTGTGGCTGGGTGTGAGTGCTAGATAATCTGCAGCAGTTGGGGAAGGGAAGAGCCCAAGGGAACTTGGCAGTTCAGTCACCTGCATGGATCGCAGTGCCCTAGAAGTCCATTTCTGCTTCCCCTGCAGTTGGACCTTTTGGAAGTCTGACCTCTTATTCTGCAACCTCCCCAATCACCAAAGAACTCCACAGAGGGCAGCCATCAAGGGATACAGTGGAGGAGGAGGAAATCTAAGATAGAGGGAACAGAGGACTGGCTTGCTTCATAGACTGCAGGAAAGGCTAGAAGGGGATGGCTCATGTGCTGGGATCACTGTGTAAATGCTGCATGTTCACAGTGATTCTTCAGAAACTGGCTTGCGCTTATGATGGCGAGCAACCTCATTAAAAGAGTGTGCAGAGAAAAGTGCAGAAGGAAGGAACTGGGAGTTTGAATTAACAATTAACAGCATCCTCATTGAAGTGCATCAGCAGCCAGGGAAGGCGGCGGCGGTTGTGCTTTCTGTCAAGGGTGAAAGGAAAGGTAAGACATCAAAAATGATGGGAGAAAAGTTTCAGAACACAAGGTCATTTGAATCCATAGTTTCCTTAAAAGAACTCTCTCTTCTGAGCTTTCATATCTTGCTCAGAAAGGTCGCCTCTTTTAAGCCTTGTCATTAAAGACAGTTTGCTCTTTAAAGTGAATTATCAAAGGGTGTAGAAATTGCGAGTTACTGAGACTAAAATGCATGATCAATTTTAAGTGTGCTAACTAAAGCCTGCTTAAATGTGCATGTGCTTTTGTGCTGGCAGCCGCTTTGATAAAGCCGGGGAAGGTACATGGTTGGCCAATTCAAAGTAGGAAAAGGAGATAATTAGATAAAACTTTCTCAACTCTCCGAGTGGGTCTTAGCTTAGAGTAGGAAGCTTTGGCAGGGGCCCTAAATGGTACTTGAGGAGTGAAGTGGAATGCTTCAGGTTCTGACAGGGTGAACGTTAACCTTCTTCACTGTATTGTTTTGAAAACAGAATCAAGCACTTGGGAGGCAGAGGCAGGTGGATCTCTGTGAATTCAAGACCAGTCTTGAACTGGCTCCTTGCAGGACAGGATCCAAAGCTACCCAGAGAAACCCTGTCTTGAGAAAAAAAAATAAAAAGAATCAAACTTAAGATCCTATTGTTTGCCTCATACAGAGCAAGATAATTGAAATTGGTGTCATGAGACCAAAGAATTGTTAAAACTGGTTCCCTCCCCAGTATCAAGGGCAACTGGAAGCCTATTCCTCCAGACATCTGAAGTCAAGGTTTCCATTGGACAAACATTTTTACATTGGAGATGTAAATGCTGCTGTAGGTGTTGCTGTCTAGAGAAGGATGCTCAGTCCAGATGTGAGGCTGACCAATAGTCTGCTATCCTCTTGGGGAGTCTGCACCTAAAGTGAGGTCTCCTGGAGGGAGCATGGTGAGGTGCACACAAAGACCTCATCATGAAACAGAGCAGGGCTAAGTCCTGAGAAGCTGACTTCATCAAACTAGTTACATGGATAAAGCCACTTTGCCCACACTATCCCTTTAACTAGGAAAGGAATTTGGCAGATAGGTGGCATCTGCTGTTTCTGTTTCCTTGGTGATTCTCTTCACCCACTTGGGCCTTCTCTAATCTATCACACTAACTGTTATGTTTGACAGTGGTATCACTTCAACCCTTTCATTTGGTGTTTCTCACACTGGCAGAGCATGAGAACATAGACCTTTAGTCCCAGCACTGGGGAGGCGGAGGCCGGTGGGCCTCTGTGAGATCTTGGCCAGCTTTGTCTACATAGTGAGTTCCAAGGTAGCCAGAACTATATAGTGAGACTCTGTCTCAAACAAAAATAAGAACAAAACACAAAACAATGTTTCTTGAGCTAGTGTCCATCAAGGTCTGTTTGGTGTGACTTATCTCAAAACTTTCTGATGTCTCATTTTGACAGTTGTAACATGCTCTATTCTTCAATGAAGATTCACGTGCATTATTTGATCCTTTACTCATTTCTTGGTTACTGACTATCAACTGTATTCAAGCCAACAGAGTGATCCCAAGCCTACAGGCATTAATTATAAAACACAAGTGTGTGATCTCTGTCATGAGAGTACTGATGACTGGTGCACTCAGGTGGGCTGCTCTCACTCAGGTTCCCAGGAATGCCATCAGATGGGGCTTAGGAGACAGTCACGGGAAACATGAATGTGATCCCACAGTACTTCCTTATATTCTGACAGCTCATGCTCCCAACTGACTAGTCAAGCACAGGAGAGACCAAACATAAACACCAGAAGTCATCTAAGTCCTGGGCCCCAACACCAGCAACACTTTTACTATATTCCATTAATGACAAAAACCTGTCTAGAGTCAAGTGTAAAAGATAGAATTTGAGCAAAGTTGGAGCCCCTGTGCCATCTTGACCATGCCATAATTTTTTTGTTTGTTTAAAAAACAAAACAAAACAAAACAAAAAAAAAGACAACTGTTTAACTCTTTTTCACCTGTGTCTTAGTTAGGGTTTCTACTGCTGTGAAGAAAAAACCATGACCATGGCAACTCTTATAAAGTAAAACATGTAATTGAGGTGACTCATATTTTCAGAGGTTTAGTCCATTATCATCATGGTGTGACATGGTGGCATGCAGGCAGACAAGGTGCTGGAGAAGTAGTTGAGAATCTACATCTTGACAACAGGAAGTGGTCTGAGATACTGGGTGTATCTTGAGCATATATGAGACCTCAAAGCCCACCTCCACAGTGACACACTTCCTCCAACAAGACCACACCTACTCCAACAGAGCCACACCTCCCAATAGTGCTACTCCCTATAGAGGCCATTTTCTTTCAAACCACCACAACCTGGAATCCACTAAAATGATTTGACCCATGCAGTTGTTTCTTTT